GGTTGTAGTAACCCAGGGGGTGCTTCCAGTAAAGGTTTGTTCTTTTGGCAGACTGTGCAAACCTTGATAAATTTTCTGATATCCCTCTTCATTCCTGTCCAATAAACAAGGGGTTTCATTCGCTGATAAGTGGCTTGAATGCCAGAATGTCCTCCTATTGCTGAGCTGTGTATTAGAGAAATTATTTCATTTCTGATATTCTCTTGATTTCCTACAACCAGCCTCCCTTTCTTCATCAAATTTCCATTTTGCCAAGTATATGGAAGGTGGGAATTTGCATCAGTTAGCAACTTTTGGATAATATTTTGGCAATTTTCATCCTCCCAGCTTCTCTGAATCTTTTGCAACAAATCAGACCGTAGTTGAGTTAAGATTAAGCTCTGCAACTCTCCTCCCTTGACCCTAGATAAAGCATCTGCTACTACATTTTCCTTTCCTTTCCGGTACACAATCTCATAGTCCATTCCAAGCAATTTTGGTAAGCATTTACTTTGGAAGGATGTAGTTATTTTCTGCTCTAACAAATATTTCAAACTGAAATGATCAGTTTTTATGATGAAATGTCTTCCCACCAGGTAAGGTCTCCATTTTTCTACTGCTAATATTATAGCTAATAGCTCTTTCTCATAAGTGGATAGAGCTTGATGCTTTTCAGAAAAGGCTTTACTGATATAAGCAAGGGGATGATGTTCTTGGGACAACACTGCACCAATTCCCTTGTCAGATGCATCAGTTTCAATGGTAAAAGGAGCTGAGAAATTAGGAAGGGCCAATACAGGTGTGTGACACATAGCCTCCTTCAACTGATTGAAAGAATAATCAGCTTCTTGACTCCAAACAAAAGCATTCTTTTTTAGGAGATTGGTCAAGGGTTTGCTGATAAGACCATACCCCTTTATGAACTTCCTGTAGTATCCCGTGAGGCCTAGAAAACCCCTCAACCCTTTGATATTTTTAGGAGTAGGCCATTCCTTGATAGCTTGTATTTTAGAGGGGTCAGTTTCTACTCCTTTTCCTGAGATCAAATGCCCTAAGTATTCCACTTTATTCACTCCAAAAAAACATTTACTCCTTTTAGCAAATAAAGAGTGTTGCCTTAGTAAACTTAGGGTTGTGCATAGATGTTGTGCATGAGATTCCAGATCTGGACTATAGATGAGTATATCATCAAATAAGACAAGTATAAACTTCCTTAAGAAAGGCTTGAAAATGGCATTCATGAGGCTCTGAAATGTAGAAGGTGCATTGGTCAAGCCAAAAGACATTACTATGAACTCATAGTGACCTTCATGTGTCCTGAATGCGGTCTTTTCAATGTCTTCTTCCCTCATCCGTATCTGCCAGTAACCTGATCTTAAATCTATTTTAGAAAAATAGTATGATCCATGGAGTTCATCAAGGAGTTCATCAATCACAGGTATAGGGAATTTGTCCTTGATTGTTTGCTTGTTTAACTCCCTATAATCCACACAGAACCTCCAACTACCATCCTTTTTCTTTATCAACACTACTCGAGAAGAATAAGGACCCTTACTGTTCCTTATAATGCCAGTGGATAACATTTCTTGAGTGATCTGTTCAATTGCATCTTTATGACTCACAGGGTATCTATAGGGCCTTACATTGATTGGGAGAGTGCCAGGTTTAAGATGGATTTGATGATCTTGTTCTCTAGGAGGAGGTAACTGCTTAGGTTCCTCAAAAATATCTTCAAATTCTGCCAAAACCTGACAGATAATTCCAGGAGTTTGTTCCTTCATTGATTCTGATTCTTGAGATACTAGTTGCATTTGGATGGCAAATAGTTCTCCCAAGCCATTCCTCCCTTCTTTTCTGATTAGATTTCCCATTTGTTCCCCTTGAAGTTTCAACAACTTGCCATTTTTCATGCCTCTCAAGACCACCTTTCTGCCATGATATTGGAATTCCATTTGTAATTTTTCAAAATCCCACAAGACTGGACCCAAGGAAGCTAGCCACTAACTCCCAAAACCATTTCACAGCCACCTAATGTTACTATCATAACATCAGTAGTAAATTCCACTCCATGTAAGGACCACTTGAAGTGTTTACACACCTGAGTAGTGATTAATTTTTCACCATTAGCTACAGAAACTTCCAATGGATATGATTTGGTGATCTTGCATCCCAATCTCTTTGCAGTTTGTTGATATAGGAAGTTATGAGTACTTCCCGAGTCTATCAACACAAACAATTCATTTTTCTTGACTCTGCCAGTGACCCTCATGGTCTGGAAGTCATTTATACCAGATAGTGCATTTAGGGATATTAGTGGTTGTTCTTCAAGTCTCAACTCAGTACATGGATTTGTTCCTTCCCCAGGTAACCCATCTGGATAGGCTTCAGCTATCTCTTCTATCAATTCTTCTTCTTTTTCCATAGGTATAATCTGTATCTGATATATTTGGGATTTACATTTATGCCCTGGAGAATAGGTCTCATCACAATGGAAGCAGAGATTCCTCCTCCTTTCTTCCACATCTACCGGTAAAGGGGGCCTTCTTTTGGAATTAAATTGGTTAGAAGGTCCATCAGTTCTAACCATATTGGACTTCATTCCATTAGAGGGTGGGTAGATAGGAGTTTTTAGGAGTGGTTTATCTGGGTTGGGTTTATCTGTACGTTTCAGAGGCAGGATGATATTTTCCAACAATCTAGCATATTCCATGGCACTATATAAAGAATTTGGTTTGAAAGCCCTTACAAAAGATTTGATGCTCACCTTCAGACCCCCAATAAAACTATCCAGGAAATAAGAATCTGGCAGTTGACTATTTCTTTGGAGCATCAAACTCTTAAGGTGTTCAAAGGAGTCCAAATATTCCTCAAGAGAACCAGTTTGTTGCAACTTGTTAAATTCTTCCACCACACTACCCCCTATTTCTTCATTAAATCTAGCACACAAATCAATTATGAATTGTTCCCATAAGACTGACTTATGCACTGCAATGTAGCTGTTAAACCAAGATTCTGCCCTCCCATTCAAATATAGAGATGCTAAGTCAACCTTCTGACTATTATCAATCTTGCACAATTCAAAATACTTGGCACATTTTTGAATCCAAATTCTAGGATTACTTCCATCAAAGCAGGGAAATTCAACCTTAGGTGTAAAACCTAAAGTTCTAACCTGATGTGGCTCACGAATGGGAGTGTTGTGCAGAGAAGGATTGACGTCTTCACTGGTTTTCTTCTGCAGTAACCCTAATAGGGCATCCAGCTTTTGGGAAGTATCTAAGAATTTCCTCTCACTTTCCAATGATTGCTCCAGCAATCGTTGCTCCAAGAGAGTCATCCTTTCTTCCATTTTGGCCGATAGACTCGCTATAGTCACCTTCTTGGCCAGTCTGTACAGACGAAGCTTCACCTTTGATCGATTGGCAGGAATTTGATCTCAGAATCGGTGCTCTGATACCAATTGGTAGAATTTAGGAAGATAATTCGAAAATTCTAGCAACTAACGTAGGAATTCCTAAAATAGAAAGGAATTCGAACAGATAGTTATGAACAGAGAAAGCTCAGAATTCAGAGAAAGAGGAAGAAGAACTTTATTGATCCTTTCATATCCTTCGTTACAGTTCGATTACAGTATATGTAGTATTGGAAGAAAGCTATCGCTACCTAACTGCTTAACTAACTTCAACTGTTTAACTATAGTAAAGCAGCTTCAGCTCTTCCAGATTCTTCCACGCCATCTTCCATTAGTCAGCATCTGAGGTGTCCTGCTTATTTATCTGACGTGGCTCAAGATGCATAACAATCTAGCATAAAAAGAAGAGGCCAATCTCAGATTTGTATTGTACGTGAATGGTTGTTTCAAATTTAATTGAAATAAGAACCGGTTATAAAATCAGATAGGGTAGTGAAGGGTTGCGAAGAAGGCCATTAAAAAAGAATTACCCAACACCGTCTGATATCTATTCTCAAAATCTCAGGGTTGCTCCTTTGCTTCACAAATTGACTGTAAGATCACTTGTAGCCACAATAACCTGCTCTATACATTGCCTATAAGTGAAAACCACCTTGCGCTCTATCGCTGATCACAAACCCCTGTTTATTTCGTTCGACTTACAACCGAAGATGGAGATGTGCGGCTCTAAGTCTAAGATGGAGTTAACGGGGGTTAAAAATTAACGGTATATAAGGGTAAAGAAGCCAAACCGAAAAATAAGGTTCCACTTTTTAATAACAATGTACAACATCTTAAGCATATATAGTGTATTGACATAAATAGATGATACCAACCCTCATTCATAATTATATTGTTGTTAGATAGACAATACACGAAATGTGTTTGATTTGTTGATGGTTTGTTATGATATCAATTTTCATTCTTATAATAAGAAATGATTCATGAACAAACCAATCCTTACATCATGTAACAAAACTTGTACAACCATCCATTATGATAAGGGACACCAATCCAGGGTTCCACTGAAGAGGACGAAGGATAGAAATCATAGAATTTGATGAGGTCTTGAAGTAGAGATTCTATGAGAAGTGCGTAAAAATTAGCGAGAGACCGATAAAATAATTAATTTTTATTCTTACAATCAAAAACAGACAAATAAATCCTTTCATCATATATAGTAACAAAACTTGTAGAATCATTCATTAGATGATTTCAACACAACCTTACTACTATAAGTTGAGAATCTTGATTCTACAAAGACATACTACATATCATATTTCTTCCATTACAATTTGCTCATAATGAATGCCACGTGTCTGCATTTCATCTTTCAAAAGATTTAATTATTTTAGTCGGAACTAAATCAATTTTAATAAATTCAATCAATGTTAAAGTTTTTAAATAGGTTCTTAATAATCAATTTAATTATTTTCAAACGACTCGAACATAAAAAATTTGTGAAGAAAGATTTCAAAATCCAAATGAAAAATTGGGAGGATAATGAAAACATAAAAGTGAAATAAAATTGAAAGAAAAATGTAATCCAACTCCCAAGCTCTAAATAGAACTTTACCTACCAGGCTACTCCCCTAGATTCAGGACTACCTAATCGCATTTTGTCTCTATCATCTACTCCGTAACTTCCTTCAAAGTTTCCCACTTATGAATAGAGGATCAGCTCAATTATTCTATTTAGGTCTCCCACGCTTAGAAGTAGTTCCTCCAGGGAGAGAGAAGTCAAAGTTGGGCGACGAAGTTTCAGTGTTCTGATCTTCCTAACTCATCGCCTTCTCCTCTTTCAGCACAATGAAGAAGAGTCCCATGTCTCCCAGAAACCTCAGCTCCAATGTATTATCCTATCTCCTTGTTATTTCCATTGAGATGATTTTTTTGGAGTTTTATTTTGAGTGCTTCTTTTCAGGGAATTAGGGGGGTTTAACACCCGCAAACAAATTCCCAATTTGACTGAACTGTTTACTGATTGTGTTGATCATGGGTGTTTTATAACTGTGATTCTTTTTTGAAGCTTATACCTTTATCTGTTATTTTAGTGTTTTAATTTTCTGCAACTTAGACCAACAGCTGACTGAATCTTACCTGCCATAGAAATGCGATTTTGACAGTTATTATTTCCATTTTACCGCTTTAGCTCGATAATTGTTGGGTCTGCATGCTCAAATTGGATTGTGTGAACAGTTTATTTATTCATCACTTCGATTTTCAAGTCTACTATCACAACTTGATACTGATTATGGTACTTAAAAATAGGGAAATGCAACCTTCATCCAGACTGAGCATGGCCATAGTGATTCACTATCTCTCTTGAACTCAGAGGGGTCTGTAGAGCAGCCTTTTGTTGATGGAATTGATGATAATCTAATTGAGTTCTCTGAAGCTTTGAGAAGTATACTATCTGATTATGATAAAAACTCAAATAAGCTAGGATGTTTGCATAATATTAGAATATAATGTATTGATTCTCCAATTTCTTAGCGGTTGCTAAAGTGTTAAGGCAAGCTGCTGAGGGAAAGGCGTCTGCTCAAGCTGAGGCCACTGAATGGAAACGCAGATATGAATTGGAGAGGGAGCATAATCAGAAGTTGGAACAAAAGGGTATTATGCAGAAAATTCAGTGTTAATTAATCATTTAATCCTCTAAAATCAATTTAACAATATAAGTTCCCGCAAAGAACTATGTCAAAGTTTCTAGCCCTTATACCCTAATCTTTTTAAAAGAAATAGTGAAATAGTTGATGTAGTAAAGTCCAAACATAAGATTGATATCGTAAAATCAAAATATGTTTCATGGAACATGACAAAACACCATTTTTCAACTCATCACTATTATCATCTCTATACTATATTTTATTCAAATATTTCTAATTCAAGACACAAATAAATTTTTAGTGTTTCGTTCAGCGTATGGGCATCATCATATTAATGTATTTAGTGACCATCTTGATAGTTATTGTCTGGTCCTCTTTTGTTGAAAATTAGCCTAAGCTGTATTTCTCTACACCAATGGAGGTTAAGCAATAGAAATTTAAGGTGCCTTAATATTTAAATGGGCTATCAAACACTAACAAGTGAAAAGACGACCTAGAAAAAGATGAACAGTGCTCAGAAAATAAATTTTATGTATGAATGCATATCCTTCAACTGAGCATTTTAATGTCCCAAAAGTTTCCCAAAAGCATTGTGCTTTTTGTAGCTTCCCTCCTAGTGGGGTAAATGGGTTATCGGTTGTCTCTGTTTCACCTTCTCCTCTTTCAAGGATAAGAATGTCTCATTTAGTTGTAATAATATTTACAAAAATATCGTTGAGAAATATGTTCAGCATCCTTTCCAGACAAGCATAACTCTGAGCATAGAGACAGAAGATTAAATCACTTGATGGGTCAGCCTGTACAATCAGATGGAACTGCTGAAAAATCTGGAAGGTGCTGTGGTGAGAACGGGATTTGCTCTCATGAAGTTCTTCGGAATGGGGAAGCTGAATATAATACCAATGTTATCCCACATAAGATGATGAGAAAGGTAGGTACATTTCTCTAGACCCAGCCAATCAGTGTAACTGATTATTAACCTCAGTATATCTCTTAAGTGTGAAATTCAAGGATGGAAACTACAGTTTTTACTTTCTAAAATCCATGTTGCTAATATACGTTATCATAAAATCATTTTAGCTGTCATGTTGTCAGCAATCATGTTACTTTCTTTTTGAAATAATTTTTTATTATTTAGGTTTTCTCAAACCAATTCCTTGATTATAATTGAAATGAATTCGTTTAAACTAAATGAAGTTAATCCCTTGATTACTTGATCAGCCAGGCTCATTATAAATGCAATTTTTTTTTTTTGCATATGACTCTCTCTCACAGATTTTTGGTCATTCTAACAACAACAGAGCCTTAGACAATCTTCAATGTCCATTAACTTCCACTTTAACTTGAATCATCTTGCTGTAAACTTTAGATTTTCTAGTCTTGTCACACTCATCTTAATAGTTAATATACACATCGCCGCACATCTTCATCAAATCTTTTTTAACAATTCAATATTCTAATGCAGATAATAAAGTGGGTTTGATGGCGGCCCTATAAATTTTACTCTCAACCTTAGAGATACGTTACAATCAAACAATACTCTTGCCACTCCTCTCCATTTTGACCAACATGATTTGATCATTTGTGTCATGTCTTTATGAATATGTCCATTCTTTTGCATGATATATTTCAATAACTTAAAAAATCACTGTTGATAACCCTTTTCAAACCGATCAGTTTTGGAATGCTAATTTATTTTTCTGGTTGAAATACAGGCTTCCTTTAAGCTATCATGGTGTTGTAAAGGTGAAAACAGCAACCAACATAAGCATGATATTGTCTCTTTTGAAAAGGGAAATATAACTACGGCAGAGCGAAGCAGTAAACAGGTTTTATTCAACTCTCATGTTTGAATTTTATTGTGCAGTATTTAGGGGTTGCTTGGTAGGGAGGCTTGGGGAATGGGGAATGGGGAGTGGAATGATAGATTACGCATGAAGTACTTCACTATGGTTTTGAGTTTCCACTTTTTGGCATTGAGTCATATCCTTCCCAAATGGAGAAACTCTTTCCCTTTTCTATCAAACCCATTCTCATTCCTTAAAGTCAAGCATATCCCAGTATTGTAACCCTTTTATATGTTTTTGGTTGCCGTTTTTGTTATGAACAACTGAATAATGTAGTGATATACTCTTCATTCATTTCATTTTCATTTACCCCAGTGCCGCAAAGGCTCCCACCTACGGTGGGGTAAGGGGGAGTCGGATGTACGCAGTCTTACCCCTGTACTAAAGCACATAGAGACTGTTTCCGGATGACCCATAGTGAAACTCGCGTCCAAAATTGCATGGACTGACTGCTACTTCATAACAAAGAAGCGCAGACAGTTTAGTGAGCCATTTTGCTTTATTCCATCATATTCTCAAGCCAAAAAATAATGAAGCTTTTGCTCCATTGCAAATGATGGAGCCCAATAAGTTGATGTATGATCACCTATTCTGTTTCAGATTTCTTTGAAGTGGGAATCTCCCCCCCAAACGGTACTTATTTTGACTAAACCTAATTCAGCTGCTGTTCAAATGCTGTGCTTGGAAATGATCAGGTACGACTATGACATGGTGACATTCCAAGTTTATCATTCCAACAGCTGAAGTTTTCTTCCACATTGTTGTTTACTTGGCCAAGGAGTGTGTCTTGATGCTTAATATGTTAAAACTTTCTCTGCTGTTGAATATGAAAGTGATAACCATGTTTCTTCTGTGTCATACGAGTAGTTAACATTGTTTATGCCCTTGTGCATCTTTTCTGCTCCTGTCCTATATATGCTTACACCTTTGTGCACGTAATTTGTTTGCTTCTTTCTCAAAACTTTGGCAGTTTCTCTTTGCTCTGGGGAAAGGATATACCAAGGACCCCCCCCCCCCCCCAACGAATACCTGTTCCACATTGTCTGTCTCTCTTTCTTCTTTCAAAGGTTGATTTCACTGAGCGAGGACTAGGCCAACGAGTCTCATTAAGACATAATATGTACAATTCACTACGCTACGAACATGCAAATGATAGTCATGCTCCTTCCTTAACGGTCAACCCGGTTGGCATGTGCTGTACTCCTGTTCTATACAGTATACATGCTTACTTTTGCTGGGCTCTTTCTTTTTGTCCCACCTTCTCAGTTACCTTTTCCTCCGTTGAGTGTATGTTTCAGCCGAGTACTTTGCATCTAACAAAAATATATCTGCCTCCATTTTCAAATGCGTGATTTTGGACATTTCTCTGGAGGAGGAGATATTGGTCAAATGCATTTAAGAATACCTAAAGCAGGCCTTTTCTGTAAGCTTTGTAGACTTGATCAGGATGATAAAGTAATAAACCATAAATGATATACTCTCCATTTTTTATCAATTGATGTAATATCATTTTGCATTTAAACATGGTGGAGGTGGATCCCTGTCTGACAAATGTGCATATATTAAAACATGGAGAGGCGTATGTTCCTTTTTTTTTTTGTTCTACTGTGTCTGCAATTAGTGCTATATGGTTTCCATCTATTCCCGGCTTCAAGTTTAGTTTTGTAAGCTTGTTTGGATTTTCAGATGGTTGAAGGAGCAGAAAAACATGAACATTTTTGTGGAACCACGAGTAAGAGCTGAGCTTTTATCGGAGTTGTCATACTACCAATTTGTACAGACGTGGGGTGGTGGTAAGTCCTAGAGTTTGTTAATTTAGCTGTCTCATGTCAATGAGTGCCTATAAAGAAGTTAATATGTTTTCTCTCAGTTAATGATGTTTCTCCGGCAGCCTTATTTGTTATATACACTACTAAATCCTTTTTTTGTGATAAAACGACTGCTAGAAAGCAGCAAACAATCTCTGTTAATGAGGAAGGTTTGCCAAAACCACCAAGCAGGTCCATACAAACCTTACAAAAGGAAATTTAGGAATGGCCCTTATTACCCTAATACAGCAAAGGATTGTCCATACCTTCTTTTTGCCATTCTTTAGGTTAATAGTAATTTTGCTTCACTTCATCAGATATTGGATGTCATTTTATGCCATATATTGCCGAAGAAAGTTGATCCCATTTTTTGTCCAATATGTCTTAAGTTATGTGAAGTCATTGATTAAAAGTTTGTGTGTGCCTTTTACTTCAGAAGAAGAGATCATGCAACTGCACACGAAAGTTGATCTTGTTGTAACCCTTGGCGGAGATGGGACTGTTCTCTGGGTAAGTAGATGGATAACGTTTTCCTTTCCCTTTGGGGTCATCTTTAACTGTTAGTCCGGCCATCAATGTTGTCTCTAATGTTGTTTGAATTGCAGGCAGCATCAATGTTCAAAGGCCCGGTTCCACCAGTTGTTTCTTTTTCTCTAGGCTCTTTGGGCTTTATGACCCCTTTCCGTATCCTACTGTAATTGTTATGAGCAAAGTCACTTATAGCAATTTCATTACTTTATTATTGGGAAGTGATAAATTCACCTTGAGTTTATAGTTACTTTAACACCTTTTAGATAGTGAAGAATATAAACAATACCTTACTTCAATTCTTCACGGTCCCATCAACATTACATTAAGGCATCGACTGCAATGCTATGTAATACGAGATGGTGCTAAAAATGAATTCGAAACTGAAGAGCAAGTTCTTGTTCTCAATGAGGTCACGATCGACCGTGGAATTTCATCTTTTCTCACAAACCTAGAGTGTTATTGTGATAACTCATTTGTCACATGTGTACAAGGGGATGGGTTAATTTTATCTACAACATCTGGGAGCACTGCCTATTCACTTGCAGCAGGAGGGTCTATGGTGCATCCTCAGGTATTCCCTGGCTATGATTATATGCTGTGTATGTTTTGATGTGAGCGGTAAATTTTTTTTTCCTGTTGCATTTCCTGAATCCACTGTGTTTCTTCAGAAACAGATTTTTTAGGTGGCAGGTCGCATGTACTTAAGCTTGAAAGTAATCAGTTGGTGATCATCTATAGTTTTTTTTATTCTGATTGGTTGTGGGGTTTGGATGCAACTTTGAAAACCATCAGGTTGCTATGTGTTATTAGAGATCTGGGTGGAAGCATTACTGGAATTTAATTAGTGTGAAAAATCCATTGAAAATAAAGAATATAACGAGAAGAAGTCTTCAATATGTTAACCTTAAGAATGTGATGACCTTGTAAGAAAGTCCTTTTCCAACTGAAATCTTCATTGGAGCTTAGAATGGAAACAAAGGAAAGAACATGAAAGCGCTAACACTTTGGTGAACAACTTTCATTTTCTTGGCCAGTCAGGTCATAATTGGTTTGATCAATTATTCCAAATAATATTTCAACTAAGTTTACCCACCCTGTAGAATGAACTGCAAATTATCCTTTCGGATTAATCCCTTCAAGTTTCTATAGGGTATTTGGGAGAGGGGTTACGTAGGGAAGGTGTTGTGTTTTTATTTATAAATCAACAGATTTATACTTCGTGGGGTATGCCTTCAGGGTAATTTGATTTGGGCGATAAGTTTATACGTAGTACTGTTTACCATTGGGGTAATTTGACTTTGCACCCTAATTTTCATATAATTAAAAGAGCTCTATAGGAAGAGTTTAACATTTTCCAGAAAGAACAAAATGCCCTTTCATGCAAGAATCCCCTAGAAGTCTAGAACTTTTGCCAGAAGATAATACCTGTACTGGAGTGTACCCTAAACCTAGGAATTTCAAGTAGATCCCACAGGGCTCCATTAAAAGCTGGTAGAGAATAGAGATCCATCTTCCCAGAAAGGCACAAATATGAGATAGGGTGGATTGCTGAAGCGTGGTATGATGCTAGAGTAAAGTTGAGACCTTGTAACAGAATAAGCAGTAAAGTCGAGAGACCAAAGATCTTTAGATAGTGCAAAAACCATGGAACAAATAAATTACCCATCTAATTTTTTCAAATTGAACCTTCGAATACTGTAATTAAACATAATATTTTGCTTACCTGAATCCCCTTCTTCAAAAAAGAAATACATACTCCCTCCGTCCCTTATTATTGGTAAATTTGACGACAGGCATTCTAAGAAAGTTATAACTGTGTGATTGAAAATTAATTAGAGAGAGAAAAAATGTGCACCACATTATGTCCACATATTGCTTCCCTCAAAAGGAATTGGACTATTTTGGGGCAGAGAAAACAGGAGAAAGTATTTTGTTAATGAGTTAATCTAAGGAGAGTGGGAGTGCACAGTAATTTAAGAGGGACATAATGAAAGCAACTTAGGAAAAATATTAAATAAATAAATAGAAATAATTGATGCCTGCAGATTTGCACTGGTTTTGTCTTAAAAAAGCTTACTTGGAATTCTATAATATACTCTGGATGGAGAAGCTTCGAGGAGTGTAGGAACTAGAAAGAGTGAGAACCAATGGATATGTTGAGTTCAGGTCATTTTGTCTTTCTAGCATGTGTTAACAGATTTTGAATGGTGTTATTTGAAAAATGAGGTGCCAATTCCAACCCGTCTGAGAAACTGGGAGCAAAGTCAAATGACCCCTTCATCATTTTATATCACTCATTTGTAAAAAACAATCAAGAACAATATTTCATGAAATAAAAAATAGCCCCACCCTTTTCCCTGCAAATTTCCCTTCCCTAACTTATTCACTTCCAAAGTGTCTTTCATATTTTGGTCATGATGGGGATGAGAATTTAGGAAATGTGAGGATTGACTTGTGAGTATATTGTACTCCAGTAACTCCACTAGTTGAACTTCTAACAAATGTGGTGTTGCTATTACCTTATGTATGTTACTAGCTTATAAACAGAAAAAACAATGATAAAACATGAATGGTGCCTGTGAACATCACAAATTTTACTATTTTAGTACAAATATTCACATGTGAATCCTCTGAATTATTATTATATCCATCTGTTTATTATTATACATTAATCTGATTCCACCACCAGGTCCCTGGCATACTCTTTACGCCAATCTGCCCGCATTCCCTATCATTTAGACCACTTATCTTACCGGAGCATGTGACCCTTCGAGTGGTGGTGCCATACAACAGCAGGGGACATGCATGGGCATCGTTTGACGGGAAAGACAGAAAACAATTGGCGCCTGGGGATGCACTTATCTGTAGCATGGCGCCTTGGCCTGTTCCAACTGCTTGTGAAACTAACTCTACCACCGATTTCTTACACAGTATCCACAATGGCCTTCATTGGAATGTCAGAAAGACCCAATCGTTTGACGGCCCCCGGGAATCATGACTTTGGTTGTCTTTCATTCAAATAATAAAATCATATGAAAGCCCTGAAAATAGAGGGCTCTACATATGTAGTAGTGTACTATTAACTAAATGCTAACACAAGGACAACTATAGTAGTAAGCGAAACCACAATTAATTTGTATTGTAGAGGGGCTGTCATACAAGCTCTGCTTCTCTGTATCTCAGATACCTTGCCTTTAGATACTACCTACAAGTTCTTGCGTACTCTACTTTTGGTTCGGATCAGATTAGTGCTGGACATGGTCTGGTTCCCAGTTTCACAAAGGCTATAACTGGTACTGGTTCAGGTTCTAGCCTCACCAAATGTGTATTCTGAACTCAAAATTGCACTGTTAGGTTGAGGTGAAACCAGAGAAGAAAAGAAATCAAGTTTGTTGCTTGCGCAATGAGGGAAATAGGGTAGAGAGAAGTGGGAGGGCAAGAGTTAACAGAAGAATCCATTAAAAATATGGGGCTTTCCTAAAATATGATTAAATTAAATTAAAGCTTATTTTCAAAATAATAATAATAATAATCTACTCTTGCATATGGACTATAATATGACTAATAATAAGGCAATGAAACAATTAAATTTTTTGTCTTCAAAAGTGTAGAGGTAATATTTTTTCCAATTTTCAAATGATTTGGTTATGCACTTGTACTACAATTATGAACTCAAAGTATATGAACAAATTATCAAAAACCCAAAGTCATGAAACAATTAAGAAATAAATTTTGCAACTTAGATTTAGACAATAAAACCACAAAAGCATCTTAATATGAGACCTTTGCTGACTGTTCACCACTTGATTGGGTCCTCTTGGTAAGTAGTACAATTTGTTTGTTTAGTCACCAAACTCATAGAGTTTGTTTGAAAAAATTGAAATTAGCTTAATTGCGTGATTTTGTTAAAATTTATTAAGTCCTTATTAAAGTCGTTGGACAAGTTCGTTCTACTAAATTTTCAAAATATGATATTTAAAATATATTTTATTAATAAAACAAAAAAAAATATATGAGAAATAGTTAAAATAGTTTTCTATAGTAATTTCGGCCAATATAGTCAGAAATGTAACTTAAATATTTCTTATTTTGATTATTACATAACTCAACGTGTGAAATCAAAATTTACGTGTTTGGTGAAAAAGTTGTCTGATAAGGCTAATAAGCAGAAGAACATGGTCACCACTCTCCAAATGTGCTCTTACACCATTGCTAAGGGAGTGTTTGCAATTGCTTCAACTTAAAAAAAATGATTTTTTAAAGTGATTTTGGGAAAAAAGTGATTAATAGTAAAAGTTGATAGTGTTTGAGAAAAAAGTGATTCTGAAAAAGTAAAAGTTGGTGATGTTTGGTAAAATAAGTACTTTTGTGTAATAGAAAAAGTGAAAAGCAGTTTAAAGCACCCTTTCACATGCTTCCAGCTTTTAGCTTTTAAGTGATTAATTTAAGCAGAAGCTGTCATTTGAAAACACTCTTTTTAACTTTTTTTAAGCCAAAAGCTGAAAAGCGCTTTTTTTAAGCAACCGCAAACACTGCTTAAGTCTGCTGCTGAGTACTGGACTACTGGCTAGTTGCATCCGTTTTTATTTTCCGTTTTTATAACTTAGGTATTGAGCCTTATGCTTGATTTGATCACAATTAGATTAACAGAATCCAACACATGGACCTGCTATCATCATTATCATTCCCGAGTAATTAGAATGTTTTTACTTGGACTGTAATTTACTGGTCTAGTCTGATCTGGTCTGGTCTGCACTGGTCTGGTCTGATCTAGTCTGATTTATTTGTATTTTTATAATTAGTCACACCAATATTCCTGAGGTCTAACTTAGAGCCTTACTCGACTTATTATGTATCATTATTATTTGAAGGTGCTTTTTTATACAAATAATTTCAAAGGCTTTAGATCCATGGATGGAGAATTCGGTACACTCGATGGTTTGACTTGCAAAATACCCAAATATTATCTTAGCCGTTTGAAATATAAAAAAGTAAATTAATTTTCTCTCTAAAATATGACTAACCATTTATTTAATTAATTCAATTCTTTCCATAATAATTTATATCTAATCTCGTTCCAATCCCACCGACAAACCTACCCAACGGTCTGAGTCCGCCATCAGAAATTTTTGAACAATCTTTTTCATTTTTCAATTTTCTAAAACTTGTCGTAAAAAGTGATCATGGATTTTTCAAGGATTAGAGTAGAGCTAAGTGCTTGCACATATAAATTCCAACCACGTGGATATACGTTGAATTTTGTTTTGGATCATGGTAACACCTATTTTCCCTTTTCAAAGTTTAAAATTTCAAAATAAGACTGTCAACTTTGAAAAATACTGTCATGTTTGAAGTCTGATACTGCCAAAATATGGCAGTAATTAGTCATATTTTTGGAATAAAAACATGAGAGTCATATTTTGAAATTTTCAAATTTTTTAGTTCCGTTTTGGGTAATATTACTGAAATATGTAACATTTGATTTCACATATTGAATTGATATGACTAAAATTATTTTTGAAAACTGTTTTACCTATTTTTAAAATATTTATCTTAATTTCATTAATAAAATATACTTAGTGTGTTATACACATTGTTTCCGTAAATTTTCGGATTCAATCGATTCAGTACTAGAACAAAAATTTCATTGAGTAGATCGGTCTGGCTCTTAGCTTTAGTGTGTTTCGTTTTCATTTTGCTATTTGATCACATAAATTAAAGTCCAATCGCCATTAACGTTCTCTCATGCATGCATCAATATCCACGATGGCGATCTATTATTAATTACTACGTATTATTATTATTATTATTAACTTTATTCCTAGCAAGGTAGTTAGATTTTAATTTCCTCGATCACAGATCTATCTATCTACCTCTGTACGTACGTATGTTATCGTTTTTAAGGCCGGCCGGGAAGCAGAAATGTCGTCGGCATCTTCTCGTTCATGGTTTTCGTTTCTTGATTCCAGCAATTCTCTTCTCGCCAGCCTCAGCAAGCTCCTGCTAATCTCCGGCGTCGTTGTCTACTTGGGAATCATCTTCCTCCCCAACATCCCATCATGCCCGTCCTCGCCGGAGATAATGCTGTCATCGTCGAGATTGGCGATGCCGACGGCGACGGGGGACAATAACCCATCTTCAGGCATCATCCCGTCGCCGCCACCGGCCGAATCTCCTCATCCGGCGACTCGCGCAGAGTCGCCGGAGGAGAGCAAGACGAACCTGAGCCACCTGATATTCGGGCTGGTAGGTTCGGAGAACGCGTGGCACCACCGGAAGGCGTACATCGAGACGTGGTGGCGGCCGAACGTGACGAGGGGGTTCATATACCTGGACACGGAGCCGACGGAGGAGCTGCTGCCGTGGTCGCCTTGGTCGCCGCCGTACCGGGTGTCGGACAACATAACGAGGGTCGTGGCGGAGACGGGGCACGTGGACGCGACGGTGGCGCGGCTGGTGCACGGGATCATGGAGGTGTTCCGGGACTGCGACGGCGACGACGGGGCGGGGGAGCTGCGGTGGGTGGTGATGGGGGACGACGATTCGATATTCATGCTGGACAACATGGTGGAGCTGCTGGCCAAGTATGACCACAGAAAGTACTATTATTTCGGGGGGCATTCGGAGTTCATTTTGTCAAACTTCTGGTACTCGTTCAACCAAGGCTTCGGTGGGGCCGGGTTCTTCCTCAGCTACCCCTTGGCCAAGGCCCTGGCCCACTCCATGGACTCCTGTCTCAAGCGGTACAACCAATTGAGGGCTGCCGACTCCACCACCATGGCTTGCATTGCCGACCTCGGAATCAATCTCACCCCTATTCCTGGCATTCATCAGGTATATATCAATTTTACAAAAATACGCATACATTTGCTCCCTAATCCCTATATATGGACATGAACACTATATTTAGAAAGCCAGTTGCCGTAGATAGGATTGGCAAGGGTAAGTGATAAGTTCAAATTCTGGCAATTACGATGAGATTATGTAAAAATGTACAGGTCTTCTGCGAGTACTATATTTAGCTTGGGTCATAACCTCCTCACCATCTGACAGTTTCTAATTAAAATCCAATTTACATTATCCTAGTTAACTGTCCAGCAATTTGCTGGGGTCCCCAAGAATGAGGTGTCATCATTTTTAGACTAATTTAGAATACGAGCTCTAACCGGAGTCTATTATTGTCAGATTTAAAAGGTACTCCATACTATGTGGAGTTTGATAGAAGTTGTTCAAACTGAAACGGTCGCTAATGAATTAGACTAATTTGGTTATACATATGGGTGAAATAATGGGATTCGGGATCTCTACCTTGCTTTAATTAGCAGCAAGGTAGGGTGCTTGGTTAAGGGAGATCGTTCGATCGAGAATTCGACTGTCGGAAATTATTGAGGTCCACTTTTTCGTGTATCTTGAGACGCGCTTCTTCCCATTAGGCCCTCTACTGCGCAAGGCACCCGGATCTGAAACGACTAAAATGCAAAGTTGATAAGTTGAATATATACAAGATAAAACATACGTATAATGGGGTAAGGTTGACATAATTTTTGGAAGTCACGATTCAATGTCAAGTTTCATGTTGTTCTCTAGCTACATTCTACCTATCTAATATCACGTCTTCCTTTTCCAGATCCAGTCGTCCATAGTAGGCCCCACCCATTCGACCCATCTTGTATACTCCCATTGAAGTAACATGGGGCTACTGCCCAAACTTTTTCTCACCCTAACTCTCACGAGGAGGGTGTAGCTTAGTCCGTGGGGTGAATCTTTTCCAAATCTACTTCCTGATTAGTAATTAAGCTTGAGTGTCCTACATATGCCATTATGTTTCAAGTTGTAAAAGTACTTTAAGTGTCACACCTAATAGCGTGTGAGACTTTCATTCACATATGGTGCTTCTTTCATGAATAATATGAGATCATATCCTATTTTATTTATTATCCGCTCTAGCGAATTCTTACTAAAAGAGGCGACAGTGTAAAAAAATACACATACTTTGTTAAACTTTTGGGGTAAAAATGCACAGGAAAAAATTTGGGAGGTGGCAGCCCCTATTAGCCCCCCTTGGCCCCTTGGGTCCGCTGCTGATCCGCTGCATAGATTTCACCTTTTAAGTACAAAGGAAATTTTTTGAACTTTACCTAGAGATATAAATACACCTTTCAAGTTAATTAGATAAGGTACAAAAGTAATCCTAATGTCTTCTCAAAGGGAAAGCTATTTAGCAAAAGAAAAAGAAAGAATACTTTGAGAGAAAAAACTTCAACTCAGCAAATGTTCTTTCTTGTATGTCCTAATATTTTTGCCCT